CAAGCTCAGGGCCCCCACCACAGCTGCCAGCAGGCTTGGGTGTGTCCTTCTGCCCTGTGTGATTGTGAACTTGAAGGTGGGGTCCTTCTCGGCGTCGTCTTCCTGTGTGGTGTGAGCTCTTGCCTGGACCAGGGCCTGGGGCTCCGGTCACTCCTGGGAAGCTGGCCACCTTGCTGTTTCAGGGCCTGGTTCCCATCAGAAGTCTCAGAAGTGAGGAGGCTGAAGAGAACTCCCTGTGAGGCCCCCTGGGCACAGGCTGCGGGGTAGGAGGCCTGAGTGCCCGGCTCAGCACTGCCCCCTACAGGAGTGGGCAAATTTACCAGTAGCCACCGTGGGACAGGCACCCAAGCTGGGCTCAGGGCTGTGACTGGCTCACAGGGATTGTTTCTCCCCACACAGGAACCCTGCAAGGGGTGCAGAGTTATGCCCATTTCACAGATAAAGCAGAGGCTGGCACTGGATTGGCCACGGTGCACCTGGGGCTCCCACCCAGGGGTGTGTGACTCACATTCAATGGGTCAGATGGCCTCCAAAGCCATTAAACTTGTCTGGGCCTCTATTCTACCATCACAGTGAAGGTGTCCAGCAAGGTGACCTCCAAAGGCCCTGTGGCCCAAGTGCTGTCTGACCTCTAACTGCCGAGGTAGGACTCGGAGCAGAAGGAGCTCTCAGGAGATGAGAGGTCAGCCCTGGGGAGATGGGCTCAGGCGTCTCCCAGGAGGCAGGGGCAACAGCCCACCGGGATTGGCCTGGCTTCCTGTTTCCCGTGTCTTGGCATCAACGATCTCTGAAGATAAGGACAGGGCCCGGGAGGGCTCCCTACCTAGTAGCCTGGAGGGACCCGGCCATGTGCCTCTACCAGGCTGAGACAGCAAGGAAGAAGAGTGACAAAGCCCCTCGGGGCTGCTCACTTCTGCCCTGTGTGCAGACAGGAGAGGCCCAGCCAATGACAGCGCCCTTCACCCTGCCTGCACCACCCTGGCACCCCTCATGAGCCAGCCTCCTCCATCTGCTGGGAGTCAATATTTGTGAGTGAGCCCCGCCCCCACCCCCCCACAGGTCTCCCACCCCCGGGGTTTTCCAGCTGACTCTGGCCCTAAGCAGCCTGAATTGCTCCTTTGTGTCCCTGCCCAGGCTCAGAGCAAAGTGCTGCCGTCCCTGCAGGGAGGCCATCTCTTCCACCCTGCAGGGCTCGGCCAGCCTCTGGGTGTCACTCAGGGCAGGGCAGGAGACAGCAGCCCTCACGGACTGACCTGGTACCCCTGAGGCTGGCAAGGGTCACACGGGAGCTGACTCTTTAAAGGGAGGTGTGGGTGACCAAAGGGTCCAGAGGGTTGGGACTTGCACGAGACCACTGCGAGTGTTGCGTCGGCCGTTTATTTTTGAACATCTCCTTTTCCAGGGTTCTGCCTTGCCCTTCGTGACAGGTTGAAGTTCTCATCCCCAGTTTGCCTTTGCCACCTATCCTTGGGTGCTTCCAAGGGTGACCAGCTCATCCCCCTTGTCCTGGGATGGGGCTGGTTTAGCACTGAGATCCTGTGTCCAGCTCCAGGCACATGGGAATGGTTGGGAACCCTGTTTGCACCTCAGAGGTCACCTGACCCCTTGGCCTCCTGGTCTACGCACTGCTGGGAGGCTCCGGGGTTGGACGTCCACTGCCACTCATCTGCTCTCTGAGTCCCAGGAGGGAAGTGCTTGTCGTCTTCCTGTCTGCCGCTCGCTCCTCCTGGGGATTGAGAAAAAATTAAAGATCAATGTACACTGGGAAGTGGGCTTTAGGAACCAACCCTGCTTCAGACCTCAGGGCTGGACTCGGGGTCAGTGGCTCTCTGGGCCTGTCCCTCCCTGGCAGATTCCCATTCCCAAGGGAAAGGAAGGGCAATGTTTGGACGCCCAAGCCAAACCTACCTCCTCCTCCACGAGGCAGCCCTCCAGGACAGAGCCTTGGCTCACCTTCCTATGAGAGGCCTCCTCAGGCACTCGTGCCCCCTCGGGCAGCCCACAGCCTGGCCCAGGGACACTCTGCCCTATGAACCCGCCCTCCTAGCCTCCGCCACTTCTTCCCTGAAGGCCCTTCCCAGCCTTCTGGCAAAATCCCCTCCTTATTGCTTCCTGGCAGACCCTGGTGACAGGTCACCCTGGGGCTTGGCGGTCATGGGAAGGGCACCGTCAGAGGGCAGCTTGCGGTTCTGTTGGTGAAGGGCCCTTCCTTCCGCCTTCTCTTCCCTCCCATCTGCTGGTCAGGGGGCAGTCTAGAATGGTGTCTTTGTGCCGCTGTTTGGGAGGGCCCTGGGTGGATCTGTTCCCCGCTTACTTTTGGAATCGTCCCAGCCTGTTCTGGAAAGGAAACCTCTCATTTGGGCTTTTCCTTTCCCCAGGCTGCAAGGAGGGAGGCCACCCAGCACCACTCAGACAGGAGCGCTGCCATGCAGTGTCCCCTTAGGGGGAGACCAGAGGGGTGCACAGTAGGGCTGCAGGAGGCCGGGGGCTTCTTCCACGCCACCAGCTCCTGGGAGGTCCCCTTTCCCCGCCAGCCCATCCAGGCTGTCCCTTCCTGCGTCAGTGCCCCCTCACCCTCCCAGGCCTTCATTCCCTCTGCACCTAATTCACCATCACACCTAACTCAGCTTCGACCCTCCTGCTCTTCGTTTGCTGGGATCCCCATCCATGGCTTCACATTCTGCAGGGAGTGAGCACCCCGTCTTCAGGCTGCCAACGCAGTCGCTAGTGGCCCCTGGTGTCCTCGACCTGAAACCTGTGTTGGGGATCGGGACAGCAGGGGAGGAGCTCCTGAGACCCAGGTGGGCTTAGCAACCATCCTCATCCCCTCTGATGACTTCTTATCCAGAGGTTCTCAGTGCTGTTCCACGCTCTTAAATAAATCTTCAGGCCCAGAGTCCAACGCCACGACTCATCAGGACCTGCAGGAGAGGGGCCAAGATCCTGGCCTCTGCTAAGGCTCCCTGGTGACCGAGACCTGGTGCATTGAAAGAGCTGTGGATTGAAATCACTTTTCAGAGCTGATCCGAGTGGTGGGGAGAAGTAGAGGGTGTGGAGGGGTCCGGCCCTTCCATGGGGTCACCTCTACCTAACCGCTGTGGACATCTCACAGAGGCACAGCATACAGACCAAGGGAACATGGCCCTGGGGAGGGAGACCCACATTCACAAGGCCGTGTAGGAAGGCAGGAGAGGCAGCCCTTGGCGAGGAGTGCAGGAGCCCAGCAGTGCTCCAGGAGACTCGAGGTTGGCCCAGCGAGGCAGCACCCTGCTGAGAAGCCTGGCGGGGTCAGAGGGTGTGGCGCCTGGTTGGGCTGGAAGCCCTGTGCCAGAGCCGGGCAGGGCAGAGGTAACAAGCCTTGCCAGGGATGGAAGAAAGGGGTTTCTGTGCTGCTTATCGGGATGGTGGCTCCCAGGCAGGATGTGGAGTAGGCTTCCACAGCCCGCCCTGGGGATGGCTGCAGTTAGTGCCTTGTCACGGCCAGGACTTTGGACAGGGCGCGCCACCTCTGACTTGCTAGTGACATTAGCTGGCAGCCCTGTGGTCATGCTGGGGGTGAGTCGTGTTGTCCTTGTGCACACGGGGACAGATCATGACAGTGTCTGAAAGGCAGCCACCAGCTGCTATTTTCACAAGACCTGGTGGGACCCCTCAGCCTCCCTCACTGGAAAGAAACCTTGGACTCAGCGCTTTCAAAACATCAAGAAAGCTGATGGTGTTCGCTCCGCCAGTTGGGGGGCAGCAAGGAGATGCTGAAGGAGGTCAGAGGGAAAGGGTCCCACTGTAGGTGGCCGAGAAGACAGGGTGGGACTGAAATGTTGGCAGGAAGGTGCCCATAGGTTTGTTTTGTTTTGTTTTTTTGGTATCAGGGATTGAACCCAGGGGCGCTTAATCACTGAGCCACATCCCCAGCCCTTTTTATATTTTATTTTGAGACAGGGTCTTGCTAAGTTGCTGAGGGTCTCCCTAAGTTGCTGAGGCTAGCCTTGAACTCGTGATCCTCCTGCTCAGCCCCTGTAGTCCCTGGGATTACAGGAGTGCACCACCACACCCAGTTTACCCATAGGTTTGTTCCTTCCACAGAAATAAATTTCAAATCTCCCCTGCTCCTGGATAGGCGCTCAGGGTCTGCTTGACCCTGGACAAGCTGTAGTTCCGCCTGTAGCTGATTGGAACAGGCATAGACAGTGTGTCCCAAAGCTGGATTGTGTAGTCCTAGACCTGGAGCCCAAGAGGCAAGCTGTGAGCTGTTGAGTGATCCCAAAGCCCTGCTCCCTGGCAGAGATGGGTGCTCATCATTCCCCCGCTGCCCCCTGCAGATCCATAGATCCCAGGGCCTTTCCAGGGAGAAAGGGAACTCTTGACCCTTTTATCCAGCCCTGTAGACCAGCTGAGGACTGATGGTTGTGGGATCAGAAGACCTGGAAAAGCAGGAGGCCCAGAGGGCCCACCAACTGGTACCTGTGCACACTTCAGGAGCAAGGGAAGAACAAGACCTTCCCCTGACAATCCAGCCAGGTTTCTCTTCTGATCCTCTGATCTCTCCTGATCCCCATCTGCCTTGGAGAGTGTGTAAAGCCCCTGTCCATTCCCTGCCCTGTCCCGAGTAGAGGCACTTGAGAGAATTTTAAGACTGACTGTCTGCAGATACCAAGGACAGAGTCTTAAGGGTCACCCAGAGCTGACTCTCGGCGCTCTTCATCCAACGAGGGTTTCCATCCCTTGAAGCACTCCAGCCAGTGTGGCCCCTGCCCTACCCTAAAGATAACCTGTCACCAGGGACCCAGGACAGGTGCTGGGCGAGGATCCACATTCCTCCCTCCTGCGATGTGTGCTACCTGCCTCCGCGCGGGCCCTAACCTTCTCTTTCCTCCACCAGTCACAGTCCCCACCTGGCTCCCTGGTGCCAAAGGAGGGCTTTGGGCTTTGACCAGGAGCCCCTAGCCATGTGTTTTCACGGTCCAGACCAAAGCTTCATGTGCCTTCTTGGTTTTCTTCAGGAACTTGGCCATTGGAATTGGAATCCAGAACTTCCCGGAGGGCCTGGCCGTCAGCCTCCCCTTGCGAGGGGCAGGCTTCTCCACCTGGCGAGCCTTCTGGTAAGTGCTCAGCGCTGCTGTCACAGGCAGGGTCATACTGGATTTGAGGAGCACATGCACCATATGAGCTTCCTTCTCCAAGAACAGTCTTCCCATAAAACACCCATAAAACATGGCTCCCCACGGAATAGCCTTGTCTCTGACCCTCGACCTCTCCACACACCAGCCTGGATGGCCATGCTCCCACTGCGAAACCTCTCTGTGGTGAGCACACCATGCCCATCAATGTGGGGTGCACCTGTTCTATATGCCACGAGCCTCCATGACACCGGTGTTGCCAGCACCTGACCCTCATGGCCACCCCAGTGGCTCCCCATGCCCGTCACCCTGACGGGCATGGAGCACGGCAGCAGCATCTGGCGTGATGGCTACTGCTGCTCTCATCCACACGGGTACTTCCCCCCCCAGCCCCCCGCCACGGGCTTCCCTAATTGTACCTTCAGCATCCGCCATCGGGCCCACGATTCCCACAGGGGAGCTGGGGAGTCAGATGATCCTCCCGAGTCACCTGGCTCACCCATGGTGACTCCTGATGAGACAGGCTCCCTGCCCTCTGCTCGGGGTTCCAAGCCTCACATAATTCTTTGTTAAACAACCTGTTCTCTGGGAGGTACAGTGAGCACACTTTAAAGGACGGTTAGTAACCACAATTTAAAAATGCCTTCCACTTTATAGGACCTCATGACTTACAAGTTCTTGCACATACTCACACCCCTCTACTTCCACCCCCTGTTGCCCCTCTCCAATGTTGGAGTCCACTGGATAGAGAATCTAAGCCAGGACAGATCAAGGTGGCCTTCGAGACCTTTGTGTGCGAGAGCTGTGGCTCTTACTTCACCCACTGAGGTGCCAGGAAGACGGGAGGAGGGGGCCAGCAGCGGCCCCGGCCCACTGCAGCCTGGGCTTGACGTCAGAGCCACACTTTCCTCACGTGACCAGCCAAGGTCACGACTTGTACAACCAAGGAGCTGCCGGTTCTGCTGTCTACTCCTTAAGGCCTGGGGAGCCAGGAAAACATGGCCCCTGAGAGGATTCCGCAGCAAACCCAGGCTCTCTTCCCAAGTTCACCTTCTGCCCTGGCCAGGAAGGGGTCCGAGATTCAGAGTCCCCACAAGTTGTCCTCTCCTTTGGGGAAACGGGGTGGGAAAGACACCCCTGACCCCATTTTACTGAAGGAGGGACTGAGGCTCACAGGCAGTATTGTCTTGGCCGTCTGTCTTCCTTTTCCTTCCTTTCCTGAGGGTTGAACCCAAATCCCGGGAGCTCGTTAGCACTGAGATGCATCCCACATCCCAGCCCTTCCTAGTTTCTCTTTTGAGTCAGGGTTTTGCTAAGTTGCTGAGATTGGCCTAGAACTTGCAATCCTCCTTCCAGAGGCTGTGTTTCTTGCCAAATGCCCCCCCGCAAAAGAGGTGCCCTGACTTTTTGTCTGTTGGTGTGGGGCTCAGGTTCTGGCTTATGGCCTGCTCTCAAAATTCTCAGCACTCCTATCTGCTGCCGTTTCCATCAGAACTCATTTAATTTCAAAAAACAGAGGCCCCCCTCTTGCCTGCTCAAATAAAGGGAGAGATCCCATCTTCATCCAACGTGGGAGTTGAGGGACAAGGCTCTCAATACACATGTAGCCAAGTGGCTCCCCCCCTCCAACAGGTAGCCACTGTGGCCTGAACCCCCGAACAAGCCAGACTCAACTGTCCATGGGTAATGCCCATCACTCCTGATTAGCTCCCTGTGGCTCGATGTGGGCATCAATGAGATGAGTGTATACACAATGTGGGGTAGCCCCATGGCAGAGTGCTATTCATCCATTTAAAGGACTGTGGTTTGAGACTACGTGTGCCCAGTGAGAAGCAGCAGAAAAGGACCACGTATCGTATGGTTCCCTTTACACGGAACACTCAGAGTGTGTAAATCCACAGAGGGAAACCAAAGTAGATTTTTGGTGCTCAGGGGTGGGAGGAGCAACAGTGGCAGCTAATGAGTATGGGATTCTTCCTGGAGTGAGTGAGAATGTTCTGGAATTAGGTGGGGTGACGTTTACACGACCTTGTGAACACCCTGAAAACCACCAACTCCAGGTCGGGTGGGCGTGCTGCGTGGGAGAGGAATGTGCCTCAGTGAAAATTGAAGGCCTGAAGGGAATTGGGATGGGGTCCTGTGAGACCTGTTTTTGCACGGCCGTGCTCAGGTGGGAGGTGGGACGGGATGCACCGTTGTCAAGGGCTGGACCACCAGCGTGGGGGTGCCGAGTGTCTGCTGGGCTCCCTGCAGCCGCCTGTCTCTGTTCCTCCCCAGGTTCGGGCAGCTGAGCGGCATGGTAGAGCCGCTGGCCGGGGTCTTTGGTGCCTTTGCCGTGGTGCTGGCCGAGCCCCTCCTGCCCTACGCTCTGGCCTTTGCTGCTGGCGCCATGGTCTACGTGGTCATGGACGACATCATCCCCGAAGCCCAGATCAGGTGCGGAGCTCCGGGGAACCCGCTCTCGGCCTCTCCTCTGCTTGCTTCCGTGATCACCTGCCACGTGCCCTGGCCCCGGAAGACGCGCACTGTCATCGTTGTATATAGTCTCTGCCTCTCTGGATTCCTCTGGGGCTGAGTGTTAGTCCGCGTGATACACACAAGTTGTACTGTCCAGCTACGGGCCGGCTGTCAGGTGGCAGCCGGAGGGACAGTGCCCTGCTTTGTGTCATTCTGGCTTTTGTAGCAGAATAATTTTTAAGCCAGTGCATAAGTTCAGATTAAATAATATCTTTGTGAAATCACTCTTTATTCTTCAAGTATACAGTCTAAAGAGCCCTGGGCAGGTGACTTCTCTACGCCTCTGTTCCCCACCCACCCCCAGGAAAATGGGGGTCATGGGGACATGGACCTCATGAGGCCTTTGCTTGGGATTAAGAGTTAATCTGCTTGCCTGACGTGTGGTTAGGCCCAGGAAATGTCGCCGTCATTAACTGTAGAACACACTGCTGGAACTGGGCATTGCGGGGAGCCTTGGTTCGCAGGCGTGGTCTCAGGGGCGCTAAGTTAGTCTCACTTTTCTCCCTCTCCTTCCCTCCTAGTGGCAACGGGAAGCTGGCCTCCTGGGCCTCCATCCTGGGATTTGTGGTGATGATGTCACTGGACGTGGGCCTGGGCTAGCTCTGGGTCCCGACACACCCCCGGAAGGACAGCACCAGACCTCGATGGGACCACGAGCCTTTCTTCACATTAAACTATTGCTCCCTTTCTCTCCTCCTCGTCTCACTGCCCAGATCGGCCCTGACTGTAATAGAACTATCTTGACTTTGTTTTTGGGGGAGATGTTGGTTTTCTTTGGAATCTCAAGGTGTCATGGAACCACAGAGTCTTGCTGTGGCCACTGAATGGAATCTTTTCCTTGGTGGGACTGTTGGGACCTACAGATCAGGGAAATCTCTGCTCTCCTTCCTTTATCTCCCTCGCTCGATTCAACCAACCACAGCTCCTCAAGGTCACCCACAGCAGCGAGGAACCAGGAGAATTCTCCTAAGAAGTTTGGCCTCCAGCCTCCGAGCTGACTGGCCGGCAGCCCTCCTGCTCCTGGGCTGCGGGTCCTCCACACACCTGGAATACCTGGACCTAAGCATTGTGAACACAGCAATTCTGCTCTCCCAGGCTGAGCTGGCCAGGAGACGAAGAGTCCCCTTCCTCCACCTGCCCAGGGAGTCCTGTCCGGGAGAGGGACACAGACTGAGGGAGGAAGTCGGCTAGTCTTTGGCTTTTCTATTTTTTTTTTTTAATTTAAGGCTAAAATTGGCCTTTTTGAAGTTAAGGGAATTCAGGAATTAGGACAACTGTGAGCCCCCTGACGAGGAGAGAGTGGATTCCAAGGGCAGAGTGGTTTTCCACGGTTCCCAAATCTCCTGGGCGTTAATTTGATAAGTGGATGAGCTTCAGTTTCCTAAGAGACTTGGGGATACCAGCAAGCTGCTAGAACCCAAACCCTTTCTCTACTAATGAAAGGAGCCACTGAAGTGAAGGAGGGACACTTAGGACCTGCCATGGGTCCTTCCCCACAGGCTATTAGGTAACTTACAACCCAACCGAGAACCCTGGAGCCACAGCTAGCTTTGTCGGAGTCTGGCCAGGGGGCTCTGGTTGGGAAAGGAAGAGGGATAGGAAAAGTACATATCATTCTGAAATGACCGAGCAGAACGACAGGACCTCTGTCCGAAGGCTCGCAGCCAGGAGCCAGTAATTTAGGCACTGTGTTCTCGGCGCCTGATCTCTGAGTTTACATGTTCCGTTGTTTCCAAGGGCAAATGTCCTTCTCCGTGAATGCTCCAAGACCCCAGGGGCCACCCTTCGGCTGGGTCAGTGTATGTTCTTCCAAAGCACTGGTGATCAAAATTGCAGACGCATTCAGAGGGTTGATGGGTCGGGATGAGCTGGTTTGGTGGTCGGTTGGTGTACATGTGTTTTATTTTTGTCTTTGGGTATAGTTCTGCATAATTGAGATTGTTCTTTCTGCCTGATAAGACCTTGTAACTGTGATTCATATCAATAAAGGGAATGTTGTTGTGGGTGACCTGTGTCGTGTGCTGTCCTCCCGAGCTGATGCTTCTCAGGAATGTACTGTGTGCTTGGAAGGAACATCTGCCCCACCCAGCACCAGCGGGAGCAAAGGGAGCTCAGGTGAGAAGGCCGGGAGATGTTTGGCTGTAAACAACCTCAGCCAACTCCAGCTTACTCCAGCAGGAGAGGAAATCCACGGGTGGCAATTAAGGGACTCACAGGATTTGTAGGAGAATCGGAGATGGAAATGAGTTGGAGCCGAGAAAGCCCATGGTCTGGGACCATGGCCCAGTCATGCCTGAAGAAGAGCTGGGCTTAGGGGCCATGACCACAGTGCTGCTCCCTAGACACTGGACACCCCTTTGGGAACTGTTGCCCTGCATGTGAGAGTGAATGCACACTGCCCCAGCTCTTGGGTCCTGGCTCCCATTCACAGTTCCTTCTCATTTTCCAACAGTCTTTGGTCTGATCTGTAAAGCTAACAATGACCTCATGCCCCATATGCAACAGAATAAAAGAAGACAATTGAAATATTTATATATGTATGTGACACAGGCCACAGCTCTCCCTTTGTCCCCTGGAGGAGAGACCTGGATGCTTCCCATTTCCAACCAGCACCTCAGAGCCAGAGGTGGGGTGGGTCACACTGTGCAGGGCCTTGACCCCACCCCACTCCCTGCGGGCACGGAGACTATCATGTCCCTGTGGTGTGAAGTGTCACTCCTTCCCCAGGGTTCATCTCTGCACTCAGTGACACTTTTTAGGCCTGTTTACCTAATGGTGTGGGAAACCCCAGACACCCAGATCACGTGTCCAGACTACTGCTGGATTGGTTAATTAATTGGTTAACTGATTTTTTTTTTTTTGCTCAACATCTACATATGCCCTGTTTTCGCTCTTTTATGGAAATGTCCCCCTTGAGGGCGCTGAACCCCACGCACACCTCACCCCTGTTCTTTCCTAGGGCCAGCTGCCCCGTGGTGGAGCCTTCCTTTCTTGGGCACCAAAATCCACGATGGGTGGAGCATGAAGCCAAAGAGCAGGAGAGTCGTGAAGTGGAGGAGACACCGTCCCCATCCCTCTTCCTCCAGACTTGCTTGGCCTGGCTGCCAGGGAGACAGCAGCCTGTGCTGGTCACTAGTCAGAGGACGTCTCCACCTCATCAGGCGACGTCAACCGAATTTCTAGTAAAGTCATGTGGAGGTCAGCACGGGTGACTGCACTAGGGTCACAGCTGTCCCTTACTTGCTGGACAGAGAATCCCTTGGTCCACAGTGATACTGTATCACCTTGATGCTGTGACAGGCACTGAAGAGAATTCCAAAACCCTCAGTAAGTGTCCATTCCAGTGGGGACTAATCACTGCCCTTTCCATAGCAGTCCAAAGTCACCTGTCCGTGACTCAGTCCACGATGTGCCTGGACAGCAGTCAGTATCTGGGGTGGCCACTGACACTGTGTGCAGTCTGGGCCAGGTCTGCACTGAGGAGGGAATGTCCTTGTGCCCAAATCTGCCACAGTCCCGTCTTTGCCGACATGGTCACTTCTTCATGGATCAGTTGAGGAAGCGATGGAATCCCTGAGGAAAGGCAGGTCACACACGTGCAGACAGCCCTGTCCACCGGGGGGCATTTGGAGGAGGTGCTTCTACTTGATGAATTATTTTCAGATTTGACCCATTCTGGGAGGGGGAGACCACATATGTCTCCTCAAACCCCAATCTTGCTTCGTTCAAGTTCTTAACCATTTGACCAAACCATTTGTCTAAACAAATCTTCTTTCATCAAACTTTCTTTCCTCCCAGCAGAGTGGACACCCGTCATCCGCGGCCCTCTTTAGAGCATCACAGTCATCCATTCACAGTGACAAGCTCGGTGGCTTTTCCTTTCTCAGTCATGGGTTCTTGGGAGACCCTTCTTGAGACACAGTGAGATGTTTGAAGGGCTCAGGAGCAGGCACATGCACAGTGGGCCACCTGCACGTGTGACTTACCGTGTCTTCAGGACCCCGCAGGCCCGGCCCCATATCAGAAAATCTCTAACTGGTAGTGGTGTTTTATGAGTGTTAGATGACCCAGTGCATGACGGCCAGCTCAGATCACAGACAGGACTCAGTGTGTTAGGAACAGTCACCTGGAGTTCAAGGTCCGTCTCCAAGTCTCAGAAGTCATGCCTGGCCCCTCATTCTAGCACAGTAAGTCCAGAACCACTGTGACAAGTGTCTGCATCAGCAACTTCAGGACAAGTTAAGACAGTGATCTTCCGTCCATTGTCCAGCACCTAAAAATCCATCCCAACACCTTTCCCCACATTCATAAATTAAACTTAGACAATGTGAGTTTCTGACTTGTGCTACCTGGTTTGCATTTGCCACTGCCCCCTGCTGAGGTTTGGATGAGGGTTGATGTGTCCCCAGGGTTCACTGACTGGAAGTCAGTCCTCGGGGCAGTAGAGCTGTGAGGAGGTGGGACCGCTAAGAGGTGGGGCCTGGTGGGAGGTCAACAGACCACAGGGTATCACTCTTGGAAGGGATGGGGTAGCCCCTGTGGGACGCTGGTTAGTTCTTGAGAGATAAAAGAGTGAGCCTGGCTGCTCCCTGCACTCACTTCCTATGTCACCGTGTCATCTGTCCCTCTTGTAAATGTTCTCATCACAATGCCATCTGCAGGAGGGCCTTACCAGAGGTTGAATGGATGGGGCCACCTGATCTTAGACTTTCAGCTTTCACAACCATTGGCTCAGTAAACCTCTTTCTTTATATAGTGCCCGATCTCAGGTACTTTGTCATAACCATGGTAAACTGACTGACACTCCTTTTGAAGTATGCTGGAATTTAACAGTATTTGTCCTGAGTGTAACAGAGGTTAGTACACATGGACAACTGACTTTCTCTCACTGGGTGACTCCTGCAAAAGAAACAAAGGGCTTATAGTTTTTTTGTTGTTGTTGTTGTTGTTTTTGCAAAATGTTTCAGAAAACAGGAGATGAGGGTCTCTGGGGACAGAGGAGGCTCTTTGAGAACAAATGATTCAAAGGGTGCCAAGCTTTTCAAATCTTCTCCTACAGCTCCATTCTGATCCCCTCTGTCCTGCTCCTTCCTGATGGATATCCCAATTGTCTTCAGAAAGGCTATGATTTTACCAGCACAGAAATCCAGCCAATTCCCAGGCTCCAGTTTTAGCTTTACTTTTCCATTTTCTCAATCTTATGGGTGAAAGAGGTAAGAAGATATTTCTAAATGTTACTGAAGTCATATTTAGGGTGCTTGATGATGGATGGAAGAACATCATTTTTAATTGTTCTGAAGTTGCTGCTTCTTTTGCTCTTAATTGACTTAAAAATCACCAATTCTGGAGGCCACACAGCTGGGCACGGCATTGTTAATCTGTAATTGTTAATCATTGCTGTAGATCACACACACACACACACACACACACACACACACACCCCCGAGGTGTGGGTTTGGATGACGACAGGTTACTCTCCAGGGACCTGGGGCCACTTTTGCTGAAAACTCTGACTCTTCCTTTGGGCCTGCATATGCCTGGTGGGAGACAGGGATGGGATCTCTGTCTCCATCTCGTGCCTCTCTCCTTTGTTCTTTGAATCAGATTCAGCACTGATCAGGTGAGAACTCTTTTGTCCAACACTAGAATCAAGGATTCTCTTGACGGAGACTTGCTTCGTCTTTCTGCCCCTCTCTAAGGCTAAAGACACTTAGCAGTCACCATGACCAGAAACGCCAGGCCGCAAAGGGAGGGGGAAGAGGTGGGGCCTGAGTTCCTGGATGATCTCCTCCAAATTCCAGAAAAGCCATCCCCTTTGTCAGCCTCTCTCTTCGTTCACTGTTCCATCCCGTTTCCCAACCCCTCAACCTGCAGGAGCCGAGAAGCTGGTTTGGGAGCCGAGCTCCCTCTCATTCTTTGGCCGCTCAGTGAAGCCTTCCTCTCTCTCCAACATTCGTCTCTTAGATGTTGGTTTTTCCGTGAGATGAGCCTCTGAACCTGGGATCAGTTACAAAAAGTGAGGAAGCCCTAGGTTTTGGTGTCTCCCCTCTCAGATTGAGGCCTGACTTGCCTTCACAAATCTAAAAGGTGATACACAGCTCCATGGTCTTCCCAAGCCCCAGGCGTCCTGGTGCCCCAGGTCTCAGGGCTCCTACCCCTGGCTAATGCGCTGGGTGCGCCCCATGCGGTGGCAGGTGTGATCGACCCTCCCTACCTGTCCAGGGCTGGCAGCCTGCACAGCTGCACGTTCCCAGGCACCGAGAGTTTCCTAGGAACCTGGGTGGGTCCCACAGCAGCTGCCCACCTGCTCGGGGCTGGGGCAGGAGGCATGGCCACCTGGCTTTGCCCTCAAAACGACTCAAGCTGAGGGAGGAGGCCACCTAGCTGCCCATGGACCTGCTCCCGTGGCCAGCCCACCTGAGGAGAAGTGCACCCGTGACTCCATCACCTTCTTGGCCGCGGTGAAGCCAGTCAGATGCACCAAAGGGACACTGGCTTCTGCAGGCTGGCCATCCCTGGCCTGTCCCTTATAAGGGAGGATCCGCTCTGGGAGTCAGAAGTACATGTAATTTGGAGGGCGCTCTTTGGGGAAAACAATTTAAAATCACAAATACAAAATCATGTCCAAGGCGTGGACACCCTGAAGCTCGGACTGTCAAAAGCTTTCAGGTCATCTGACCTCTGGCACAGGACAGTGCTCAGGGGTCCCCTGCCCAGCCTGGTTGTGTGGTCATGGCAGGGGAAGCAGAGCTCCGAGCTGTGCTTCTCTCCTGCAGGGGGAAGAAGCAAACCTGCCTGGACCCTCCTCCCACGGGATGCCAGAGCTGGGCCTGGCGGCCAGTGAGTGAGGGCCGTGGGGAGCAGCAACCTGAATTTCCCTCTGGATTCTTACAGCCCTCTGCCCATCTGGCTCCATCCTGTGACAGTACCAGGGCTCTACCATGTAGCTTGAAGGTGGAAGGGCGCTGGCAGCCACCATCTGTCTCCAGGGGTTGCTGCTGAGTCCTC